GCTGTTACCATGGTATTCGAAAACGAATATAAGAATTTTGGTTTTCAATAAATTCCTCGCAGGGAATCAAGCTAGCATCAAACAAAAGCGTGAAATTATAGTATAAACTTTTCACGATGCTAATATGGTGCCAATAGTCCTTAATGGTTGCTATTGTATGCTAGTTGACTGACCATCAATCCAACCAACTTATATAGTAGACGTTCTATACTTTTAGATAAATTAAATTTTTCGAATGGAAGGAGATATGTATATATATTTTTTCTTTCTCAAGGAATTCATATTTATTATTCAATTCAATTTATTATTTATCGTTTTCAGAGCAAAGAAACTCTTCAAATTGCTACAAAAAAACTATTTACGATAAGAGTTGTTCCTGAGAAACTAAAATGACCGCATTCGTCTTATTGATAAATCCATTTAGTTCACGTGGTTCAAAATAATAATTGTTTTCATAACTGTAGTAAAAGCATAAAAAATAGTTAAATTTCAAACAGTTTTTACATTTGTTATATAAAGTTATTACTTATACTACAAAAGCAAATATAAAATTGCAAATATAAAATTATAATTTTACATAGCATCATGAGATGGTATATTGAAGTTTATGATAAAATAAGTAATACAAATGCGTGAATTGGTCATAAATCATAAATATTTTACTCTGATAACGAATGCGTGTTAGTTCGTATTTGAAATCTCTTTAAAACGCCGATCCGATAATTGACAGTTATACTTTACATTCGCATTGTAAAATCACTATATTGTATTAATGGTGTACTTTGTTAAACATTTTCGAACTATAAAACTGATTCTGTTTCCAATCTAAACCTCTAGTTTGTATATTGTTAACAACTGAATTGATCGATAATGAAATTATCTTTGCATTAATAAAAACAATTTCTTTCTTAGTCTGAATTAATTTTTTTCACCGTAAAGTTCACAAATACAATATTTGGTTACAGATGTGGGATGTCACTTTTATGATCCGAGAGGAGACGATGAAATTGTTGTTAAACGAGGCCCTGTTATCTAAGACATTCGAGTTTGTTTTCAAAGTTTCTTTTCACGAGAAGAGAAAAAAACTGTTTACGCTACAATTGAGCCAGATGGTTTGAGCGTTTCATGGTCAACAAAATTAATCAATTTCCTGTAAACGCTACTATTATCGTTAACGAAATAGGAAAAGACGCTCATCTAGGTAAGTTTTTCTAATTAATAACGGATGACGAGATAATTACGGCTAAAAAGCCATTCCACTAATTTTATGTCAAACGATTTCGAAAAACATGCATGCAGCTCATTTTGGAATTGTCAAGATGAAGAGCATCGCAAGATCATTTCTTTACTTATCACGCATTGGTGCTGACATTGAAAATGAAACCAGATGGAAAGTTAATTGAGTTACTAAACCAGTATAATTTATTGAACGCGTTAGGAAGGTTCATCCAGATGTTATCGGATTCTCTTCAATGCCAGTTCAGGTAATTACAGTTTTACTAATCATTAATATAGCAATCAACAATTACCGCATTATTACCAATGGTAATAAAGATCATTATAACTCAAGCAATAAGACGGATGTTAAACAGAATCTTCGTTACCAATTCCATGATGCGATGAATTCCGGTGTAATCCTGAAATGTACGAGAACTCAATATTCATAAATTCAACAATATTCTTACAAGCATCAACTTTTATTTTTCCTGCATGTAAGCACTGCATGTAAGCATGGCGTTCCGTAAAAGAATAGAAACATAAAAGACACTGATTTTGCCAAGTGGATGAATACAAATAACAGAATTGAAGGCTTTAATGCTAAAAATTACTATAGCAAGCAGCATCGGTTATTTAGGAGATCGTGTATGTCACTTCAGAGTTTACTATCACAATGTTGATTTTCATATTTCTTACGTAGACGTGTCATATCGCGTAGAGAATTTTGTAAACATTTCTGAGTTGTAGAGAGATAAGGCTTTTTTTCGGAAAATAGCGAAGAATCTATGAAAACTGAGCCATTATTGTGTTAAAACATCAAGTTTATTTTTTGGAAATCTCACTATGACTGTCCGACAGTATAACTCATCAAGGAAACATATGCTAAATTAACAGTCAAATATAAAAAAAATGCGATTCGTATTAAAATAAAATCCGTATTAGTTTCAACGTATCAATAATTCGTTCAGTTCCTGTCCGTTGATTGTGCCAATGAATTTATAAAATATAAAAATTACATATTTATTTAATAATATATGTATAAAAATGTCATTTTATCGAAAAGAAATTTTATTTCTCATGTTACCTCATAAAAAAATGAAAATTATTCTTAATGTGCTTCTTTCTTGAAATCAAAAATAATGGATCGGTGCACTTACTTAAAGCTGATAAGCCTAGAGTATATTTCTTAAAACCTGAGAAATATTCATATGCCTCTTGAATATTTTTTAGTATAATGTTACTTAGTAAAATGTTCAAGTGCTCATTTTACTTGGTAGACGGTGTGTTCTTATTTTTCACACGATTTTTCCTATTACAAATGAAAAGTGTTCTTCCGTTCACAAAAACATAAATACAGTTTGAAAAAGCAGTGAAAATACGAAATTTTCCATCCGATTGAGTCGCATAACTCAACGGTCGCTTTCAAAACGAACGCACACATCCTCTCCTTTAGTCGAGAAGCGAACCATTGTTTCCGAGCGCGAAAAGTGCAGTTGCGCTTGGCGGAACTGTCGGCCGATGGCGGCAGTTTCGATCGTACTCTCTTTCTCTCCCTCTCTCTCCGTGCAAGCCGTTATAGCCGCGCCTCGCACTTTGTACTTCGCAGCTAATAATTACACGATAGAGATTTCGGTACGAGCCTGTTATGAAAATTCAATGCGCTTGCAACGTCATAAATTCACTGGCACTTTTGGGCTATTTCAATTAGCGACCTAATGAGTATTGAGAGTGCAATCGCTTGGAATGCTTTTTCCTCTTATCTCTCTCACGCGAATCTGCTAACGGAAATTCTTATTTATTCTTTGCGACTTTTTTCGAGAGGGGTAAGAATTTTAATTAGATCAGGCTTGAGAAAGATACTGAATTATTCTTGTCTAATGGGCTTAATGATTTGATTATGAAATGTATTTCACGAAGCGACTCTCAGTATAATTACTTATCGATACTTGATGTTTACAATATAGTATTATGTATTCATTTGAAAATGATCTAACGCGCAAACAAAAGCGTTCAAGCACTTTTGTAATCAATGAAATATTCGTAGCTACATTTCTTCGATATGCACTTAATATAGAAATAATAACAGCTATTCGCTACTTTTTCAATGATTCTCACAGTCGGGTATTATTACGATGTTAATATCGCGTGCAGTAAATACACATTGATCGTAGAGCTATGTGTAATATGCGTTTTCTAATCCAAGCTTACGCCCTAATTGAAGTCAGTAATCATAAAAATTAGAATAATTCTATCGAAAAGAGTCGATCGCGCTGCTAGATCTATAGAAACGAAAATGAAAGAAATTATCGAGCGCGATATCTCATTTCCTCGAGAGACCTATACATCAGCGCTCACTCGCGACACATAATTGCACGTGGAGATAGTCTGGCATAACAGCCCGACTTTTAACGCGTTGCACTGCGAGTTCTTATCGGCGAATTCCTATCTCAAGCCAGCTCGCTCGTATCCATATGAAAAAATTAGCGAGTTCTCCATTCCGCAACGACTGATTGGACATCGATTGATCACGACGACAATTCGTTTGTGTGCCTCTCTGCTTCGCGCTCGCCGCGTCGTTTTTCTTTGCTCGCGGTCGCGTTCGCTTGTATCTCATTGCAACAGTTTTTACAATCGATACCGGGATGCTCGATAAAACATCGAATTGCCCGTCAATTTTGCGCGCGCGCGCGACAAGGTGAGAGCGCGCTCTCGAAAACAATCTAAAGACTGCTCCCTCGGCGAGCTTTCAAGGCTAGTAGCAGTGTGTCTGTTGTGTTGCACGGGCGCGACGAGCGAGTTATCCTCGCAATTGAAAGAAAATGCATTAGCCACGTAATACACAGCAAATTGGCTTCCGCGCGCCAGAAACCATAAAGTCCAATCTAATAATGTCGCGGCTTGCGCTGTTGGTGCTGCCGCTGCCGCCGCTGCTGCTGCTCTTTTATTCGCTCTCCGGGCGTTTTTCGGCGGGGATGGGCTGCTCTACTGCAGCTCCTCTCAGTACCTCGTTATTTTTGATTTACCGCCCTAACGAGGCGCCAGAGAGGAATAGTGTGTCAAGAGCACGAGCGCCGCTTTTTAATCGTGTTTACGATGCAAATTGAACGAATTCCTCTTGGCTGCCGTTGCGTTGCGTTATGTGCCGCTAAGTTGGTTAACGCCACGGATTTGCGCCGTCGTCATTTGTTTTACCTACCCCTTCCTCTCTTCTTCGTTTTTCCGAAGATCAGTTTGCACGCTCAGTCTCGATAAGCACTCGTTTTGAAATAATGGCCAAAATATTCTCACGATTTTGCAAATTCCAATCACTTAGTAATAATTAAAACTTATCCGTAGCACGGAGCAGGAAAAACACCAAGCTTTGAAAACGACGATAGAGCAAGTAACGGCGAGCTGATGAAATAGTAACGATTAATTTCATAAGTCGTCGATGCCCGCGTGCTGTGCACTGTCCTTTTTATCTTTCGACCATTCATTTGCCCATTACGTTGCCACCCCGTAATAGGCATTGAAATTTTTTTACTGATACACCAGACAATGGCACTACCAAAGTCTTCGAATCCTGCGCGACCGCGTAATTTTACTCGAGTCCACATAAATGGAGGCGAAGAAATGACGAAACGACTTCGAGATATAAAAGTCTCGATGAAAATACGTGCGTAATGCGTAAGCACGTCTTCGCGGAATCACGGTATACTCAAAAATTATTTAAGTCTTTCTCACGTCCTCGTCGAACGTTTTAACGTCAATTTCGATATTACAATCCAATTATTTGCTAAAAAATTCGTATAAAAAGTCAAACGAATGGTCTGATGCTCAAGCGATCGTTCAGTTGTCAAACACTTAACACCTGCAAGACAGACGGCAAGCATTCACGATGTCCATAGGCAAAGCAACGCTGATTCTAGCAATTGTTCTGGCCGTTTGCGTAAGTAATCCCTTCCGACCGTAAAAATTGATCGCTCCAATATAACGTTTTTCAATATTTAACTCTGTTCACTTTCGCGCGCGCGCTCTGCCATTAGAGTATTCTTTTTTCTTTCTTCCACCTCTATTTTGCCTTTTCTCTCGCAGGCTCGATTGATCGAGTTCTTTTCGCTTCGCTAATGATGCCTCGTCGTCGTCGTCGTCGTCGTTGGCCCCTTTTTTTCCCCTCAGCGAGCTGGAAAATATTTCCTTCAATGGATGCACCATCTCTCTCGCTCGCAGCCGCTTCGTGAAACCCCTTTGTGTCCATATATTTCCTTCGGCGAGAGAGGTAAACGGACTCGAGCGATCCTTTAAAAAACTCGCGCCATTATCTTCTTCCTCACCTCGATTATTGTCCTATTTTTTTTCTGCATTTCTACTTTTTCTACTCTCAAAGAGATATTTCCGACGATTAATGGACTGCTCGTTCCTTTTTATTGAACATCGATGGACGTTAGTTAGGCGCGAGTTGTTAACGCGAGTAACTCTTCTTTTCCTGGTCTTCTCGCTTCCTTTTCAAAGCAAATTTGACTTTGAGAGCGAGTTCATCTCAAATGCTAATTTTTCCTCGTACAAGATCTTATGAATAATTCTAGTGCAGCTGCTATTGTTGCTGGAGAAAAATTCACTTCCCATTATTTTATTTCACTGTATATAATTTATATTCAAAGCTCGGTGCGTAAAAATACGCGCGCGCATGCACAGCGCAGTTTTTTTACAACATACTCCTCTTCGATCGGTAAAAATTTCATTGCCCCATACACCTTAGGATTATATTAACCGCGGCAGATATCAGTCGATTGATCGTTCGTTGAGCATCGACGACTTTCTTTCGCTCGCCCCAATAAAACTCCCAGCTGTCGCAACTGCACAATCACGATCGCGAAATAGCAGCTGCTTGACCATTAGTACTTGTTGCATTCCATTCATAATTTTCTCTTTTGCTATCTCTCTTGATCGATGTTCATTTTTTCTCTTTCTCTAAACAGGTGCTCGACGTGGCCAAGGCGGACGATATACAAGTTACTTCAGCCCCTCTAAAGCTGTTTCAAGACACCGCTGCAAAGATACACGACTGGACCTCCGTTCTGGTTTCCATGATACAGGATTTTATAAAGAGAATGAGTGTTACGCTAGGCACCTCTTAGGTAGGATTGCAAATCGCTAATGCATTTTTTCCCAAGAAATTATGTATGTTTTTTTGAAATTCTATATTGGTTGTGAATTTATTGATGCTTTGCTTAATTGAATTTATATTTTTTTCACTCCATTTTTCAATGACTTCAATGTAAACTTCCAAGCTTATAGAGTAAACCTACAAAAAACTTTAAACGCAGTATATTATTGTGGATTACGCACGTTTCGCCAATAACTTTTGGCTTCTTCAGATCTTTGTTAAAATTAAAAATAACAATTCTACAGAGAAGAATACGAAACATATGGTTGTTCAAAACATGACATAACAACAATTTTAATAGTTCATATTTGTAGACACGGTGATAAGAGAATACATTTCTCCAGTCAAAGACAAGCGTAGTATTACCTTCATTTCGTATTTTTCTTTGTATGATTGATACATTTGTTTTAAAATAAAGAACTGAAGGGGCTAAAAATAATTGGCGAAACGTACACGTAATCAATAATAATATGCTATATTGAAAGTTTTTTGTGGTTTTACTCTACGAATTTGAAGATTATATTTAAATCATTTGCTTAATCGAGTAGAAACAAGTTGCATTTGTAAAAGATGAATAAAATAAAATGAATATTTTAATTCAACGGCAAAATTTTCCTTTTTCCAAGCAGTTCCATTCAATTTCCCGTTTCGGTAAATGCTTCACAAAAAAAAAATCACTCAAAGCCGTATGTTGCACGCCAAAATTCCCTGTGGGAAGTTTCTCGTCACAATGCACAAGCCACACGTAAAGTTAGCTCAGAGTCGCTTCTGGCGCTCGAGGAAGGAAAACTTGTCCGAAACAAATAAATCTTCTCTCCTCTCGTGCGCGCGATGCTGTGCGCAACGCACGCGTGGTAAGTATAAACTCACGGGTTATATGAGATATCGGGAGGAAGCACGTGCGCCAGATAAAGATAGTCTCTCGTGACAATGAAAGTAAGGCGCAGCATTTTGATCGAGCTTTTTCTCTCTTTCGCGTTTCGGTCGGAAGAGTAAAAAAAAAATAACCGTTTTTTCTCTTGTTTTTATTTAAATGACACACCACGAAGTTTGGCCGCAAATTGCGCGTTGAGTGAATTAGCGGCAAAATCATTTACAGCGGGTAGCTCAACATTTGCTATAACGAACGGGATACCATTGCACAGGTCTCCTGTGTACCGAAACCTCGTCGACGACGCCGTTCGTTGAAATGATTTCACCGGATGGTCCTCTGATAACTGTGCCCGTGGATGATGGCCCTTTGATGGCGATTGGTGTGTTCGGGTAGTGGTCGTGGTGATGGTGAACAACTTCGCGATGAATGTGGTTGTCGTGTGGCGCACAATTCGGTCCGGAGATGGTGACCACCGGCCGACCTTCAACGGACGACACGTGAACTGGACCGTAACGGGAAGCTGCCGAGGCGACTGCTCGTGCTGCTGCCGAGGCGCTCCAACCGGATAGGTTGGGTGCGCAGACGACGTGTTTGTGCTCGTCATAGATCTCTTTCACTGCTATCGGATGATTGTGCTGATAGTATACTGGTCGTTCTGCAAAAGTAGAGGGCCGTGGTTTATGTTATTTTTTCCCCCGAGTTACTTTGCGCAAGAAAAGATAGAACTAAAATAGTAGTGATTTTATTGATTGAATAGTTAATCCAAGACATAGTAGGAGAATTTTTAATCATTCTTAACTAACGTGTTGTTAATATCTACAAAGTTAACCATACGTAATGACCAACAAACTGAACGTTGTTCTATTTTTTAAAAGAAAAAAAAAGAAATAATCATTACAATGTGGAGTATTAACGCTTTTCTATGTTACACGCACGCGAAAGTTCCCCGTCAAATCAATCCTCCAGCTCGATAGTTGAGTTCTGATCAAAGGATCGTCGCTATTCAACAATCCATAACTCCATTAGATTTCTAGCTGCATGCATGTACATTGCTCTCTCCTCTATCCCACGCGTGCATCGTATAATTATGTGTGCTCTCGTCAAAGCTAGAGAGCGAGCGCTTGCCTCGCTCCGATCGCTTTTAACAGTCACCTTTGATGTAAACGGGCCGCTCCACGTAATTGACATGATGGTAGATGGGCTGCGATACGTAGTTGTGGGCGTCCGCGTGAGCATGTGCCTCGGCGTGTGCGTGAGCCTCGGCGTGCGCGTAAGCGTCTTGCACAGTCGAGCCAACGACATGAACGTGTTGTTGTACCACAGGTGTCTCGATGACGTGATGACTGTGGCTATCCACCGAAGGACCAACGATCGTAGCACCCGGCGCCTGTGCACCGATGATTGTCGCGCCAGCGTCGGTTGGTCCGACGATCGTTGCACCTTGCGCTGTCGGACCGACGATAGTCGCAGCTCCGTCTGTTGGCCCGACAATCGTTGCTCCGCCTGCTGTTGGTCCGATGATTTTTGCGCCACCGGCGGTTGGACCAACCACTATGGATCCACCCGATGATGGCCCGATTACCGATCCGCCCCCGGTCGGACCGATTATTGTCGCTGCTCCTGCTGTAGGTCCGATGATTTTTGCGCCCCCGTCGGTGGGACCCACAACTGTTGCTGCTCCTTGAGTTGGACCAACTATTGTGACTGCTCCTTGACTTGGACCGACTACTGCGGCTGAGCCCTCGCGAGGTCCTTGCACTAAGACAGGTCCTTCGGAAGGTCCGACAATGGCTGAAAAAGCAATATACATATTTTTGACGAGCTACGAAAAAATACAACAGTTATAAAGTGGTGCAACTTGGTGCAACAAAACAGTCTATCATAGGTAGTTTCACATATCGCGAGCAGTGCGTCGAGCTATGAACAGAACGAGGATGCAGTAGGAAGAATACAGTTTTACGGGGAGGGTTGGGAGTGTGTAAAATCGATAGGCAGTGATTGAAATAACGTGACATACCTTTTGACGAGGTGACGGGACCCGTGACGACAATCGGGTTTGCGGCGAGACTGCCAATGACAGGAGCATTAATGTGGTGGTGCCTCGGTTCGTCGTAGTAGTCGTCGATTACGGCACCTGTTGCCGATCCGTGATAAGGCCAGATACTCGCTTGCCCTCCGGCTGTCAGCCAACTCGCCACTACCAGCTGTGCACAATCATACACACACATAGAATAATTGAATCGCTTACGTTTTTTTGTTGTTCTTTGCTGGGGTTCGTCGATTGAAAAACTGAGTAAAAAAAAAAAAAACAAAAATTGTATATTTCGCGATTATAATTATTTTTGATTTATTTTAGCGGACGAATATAACGCACGCGTCTGTCCTGGGAAACATAGTCATTTTGCGAGAGATATATGTATGTTTGTATATATATAATACATATATATTTGCGTGTATGGCAATTGCATAAATAAATTGAAAACGCGAAATAATTGTATGAAACTTCTCGTTTCCAGAATTTCCATGAATATTCAGTTAGTAAGAGTGTTCGTGAATTTCCGCGTTTACCAAACGAATTTAAAACTGTGTTTGAAATTTCCATTAATGGACGATATTTTTTATGGCTTTTTTTTCAAACGAAATAATTTTTTATACATGTTTACGAAATATTCTTTTAACGATATCCAGTGGTAGAATTGTTCAATGAAGCTCGTATTTCGATCAAGCAAAATTGTTTTTATGGATCACATTCAATAAACAGTTGCTTGTACTTGAAATAGGAAATTGATTATCTTCGCCAAGAAGTAGAGCTTATTGAAACCTTCGGAAAACGAATTGTATTCAAGTTCAGTCGGAAAATTTTCACGTGCAATCTATTCTTTGAATGCCATATTGTGAAATGGTAAACACTCGTTCGAATTAATTTTGGCGTTTAACAATCATTTCGCAATTAATAATTCATAGCGAATGTAAAAGCTTGCGCGCGCGCAGATAATTACCCGAAACAATGTGGGTAGTCGAAGCAGGCTTTGAACAATCAAGAGCCAACTGTAGTGCGCTTACACCACGGTTGGCTCATAACCGCGTATAAAGTGAGAGAAAATGCGCACGACGTTGAAATTAACTCGGATAACCCACTAATAACCGGCCCTTTTTTCCGTCGTAAAGCTCACTGCGCTGAAGGGCCGGTGCGCTCTGCTTTTGTCAAGCTCCGCTGGCCTTCGGACGGTAGTAAAGCGAAGAGAGAGCGGTAGCGAGATCGCGGCGCTCGTGAATCTACGATGATAATAACGCCGCATCAAATGAGGACGTATATAGGCGTCTCCGGCAGCGCGCGTTCATTTGCATAACGCACACAAGGTGAGAAACGTGCAACAGCGGGGGCGGCTTTTTTACGAGACTGCGTGGGACGACTGTCGTGCGATTGATTTCACATCATTTTTTTCCTGACTTTTTGAAGGGAAAACAGTACTTATTTGGTGCTCCTGTCGGCGACTTCACACGTAGTTAGAACCATTGACTATTCTTAATAGTTATATTAGTGTAATGTTAAATTTAGTTGTGTAAGTGTTGAGGCCACGCGAGCTGCGTAATTTATGCATTTGGGATATTGATAGCTGTTTTAGACGGCTGACCTGATTATTCACATTTACTCGTTGGAAGACTCAATCGATATGTGGGAAAAATCACCTTCGTAGACACTTTGAAGTATGTCATTGTGTCATCTTTCGGAATTTTTTGAACAGAAATGAGATCTAATGCGTTTTGAAGATTACCGCATGATCATTTCAAATTTTCAAGCGTATTTATTTGGAATTTATTACTATGTACTTTTTTCATCCAATACGCTTTTTAAAAGAATTGGATATTTCGAAATGCAAGTTCTCGGCGTTCTTAAAATTTAGTTTTACTTGTTAAAATTTATTGTCAGATAGGTGCTTTAGTAGCTACTAATAATTTAAGTGCTTGCGGCTACTGCCAAGCAGTACTTTATTAAATTACTATTCAAACGTGTCTGGACATGAAGTATTTATTAAAATCGTGTTCGAATTACAAAGCAAATATTTTAATTTCTATTGAGTTTTACCAGTATATTTTTAAATATAATAAGTGAGGTAAGGTAATAGGATCATTATAAATTATAAAAATTTATTTTCTACTATTATCTTGTCTATGTCAATTGAAAGTGGTGGCTACTTATTTTTAAAAACCGAATAAAGGCATTTATTAAGCTTTGAGTGAAATATTATTTGTACATATTAATTACCTGCGAAGTGAATTTACTTTTGTTAAAGCGAGATTCAACCGTAATTTATACATTTAACGATTTATGGAAATATCAACTGACGTACATATTAAAATTTCAAACGATTTAAATCGAATATTATAATGCTGTAGTGCGTCAAATAAACACTTGTCAGGTTGGACTGTAACATGCGATTTAGACAAATTTCGTTTTCTGGGTGAAAATTTATAATGAATAATCGGTCCTTCACTTAATTGATTCTTATAGTCTATATTAACGTTATACACTTTCAATATTTACTGATGAATTTTCAAATAATTCGAAAATACACAGCTCCATAACTAAAAGTACGTCGATGCACTCGATCCTTACCAGAAACAAAACTCTCATGTTCACTCTGTTCGTTGATCGGCAAAACACTTTTTCAAGGTTCGTCAACGAATCATTATCGTTGAGCGATCTCGCGAGAAGACTGAACATCGCAGCCGAGCATGGTATTCTTTTATACGCTGTGTGGTCGTTGCGGGCGCGAGAAAAATATCATCATCGGCACCACGCCTCTCTGCATCGAGGATGGCTGTGCCTAATAAAAAGCTCGAGAAAGAGAGAGAGAGAGAGAGAGAGAGAGAGAGAGAGAGAGAGAGAGAGACGCCTACCTGTTGTGTACGAATGCAACGTACTTCGGATGTCTCTGTCGCGAGAGTGCGTGCATTGTCTTTTCGCGAATAGCGATAGTGGGGAGCGACGCTGCGAATGGGTGTGCGTCTGCATGTATCTTCGTGTGTTTCTCAGTTGAATAACTTAATCGCAGCCTTGCCGGCGCGTCTCGTCATTTTCCTTTTAATAACTTGGCCAATGACGAAAGTGCACCGCGTGGACGCGAGATGTGGAAAGTACGCGCGTCAAACGAGCTTGCTCTACACTTCTCCGACGACCACAACGACGACCATGACGACGACGACGACGATCGCATTCGGGCCGCTTCTATTTATGACAATTGTGCTTCGCAACGATGCTCTGAGTGATTCGTTTGAAAATCACTTTCCTCTCCCTCCCTCTCTACGTGTTCCGGTGGAAAAGGTTTGATGTTGAAAAAATACATATTTATATGTGGCTTACTGGAGCTGATTGACTTTACGATAAACCACTTCTTTATTAAGATTAAAGGTCGCGCGGAGGAGTTGGATGGGTTTTTTTCCCTGTCAAAGCTTTGACGATCTCAGGTAAAGCGAGCGTGTCTCGTCGAATTATGAAAATGTGGCACTAATTAATGATGATTTTATCGGTAATTGCGCAAGACTTAATTAAAAAAAATGTAACGTTGGTATGAGTTTCCTTTCGAATAAAAACCTTTCATTTCGAAATTGCACGAAGACAAGTAACGCCCGTGTATCGTTTTGTATTAAACTCTACTATTTACAAAGTCAGAATTGCAAAACACAAGCTTAAATTATGTTGTCCGGGTATTGCTAGGAAAATTGCCTGTACATAACATACATAACAATGAATGGCGGTTCTGAATATAAGCTTACACTGATTTGGAAAACCGCAACAAGGAAAGGGGAAAAGGCAAGTGATCGATTGATCTGTGCAGTATATTACGATCAGTCATATTTATTCCAAGTTGTCGTGATTAATGGGAAGGCTGAAAGTCGCGCTAAAACTTTTCAGAGCGAGCTGTCGCCGAGAAGGAGAAGTTATTTGCCGAATGATGTAAGACAAAACGGAAAGCTTAATTGGAGAGCTCGCCCTCGGCGCGTAAATCAAGACCTTTGAAAAGCGCGTCGACCAAAAATAAACAGCTAATGCCCGCGCGGCTCGCGAGCCCAGGGCGCTAGATCATCGCCGGGGATTCGCTGAATAAACCAGGCAGCGACGGGGTCACGCGGCGGTGCGTCGACGCGCGCATCCAAAGTGTCGGGCATCAGTCCTGGCGCGCCGCAGCTACATCATTTAGCCCGGCTCGCGGCGCGCGTATATGTATTACTTAAACAGGCGTCGGTGGCCGCATCGCTCGGGAGTAATGGCATGTGCAGCCTGCCCACGCGCGCGCGCGCGAGCGCTGACTCACCGATTGATCGGCTGACCGTGCGCGTTATAATTAGCCAGCACCGATCTTTGGCCACTCCGAGGGCGGCAAAGTTGAATCACGCGGCGACGCGCCCCGTACGACCACTTGGACAAACGAATGTGCTCAGCTGTGTCGGAGCCTAACGCACGCGCGCCCACTGGAATTATAAAGCTCGTATAAATTGATCGCGACGCCGGTAACTCCGCTTGTTGTGATAAGCTCTGGGCGCTTTTTACCGATGGAGGAGATTGGGCGGACTGCTCGTGGCTTTTGTCCCAATGCGATTGCCATTAGTTGCGTTTCCTGTTTCGCAATGTAGCTGAGGTGCTTTGCGTTTCGTCTGGTTACGGACTTGTTACTTTGGCTTTCTTTTTAGCTTTCGCCGTGCGATAGCGAATTTAAGGAAATTAATTCTTTGAAGGAGTGTTTGTTCGAGAAAACGCGATAACAGTAAAATAGTCGCAAAGAATTTCGAAACAAATATATAATCAATTTCATCTTAATACGTTTAATCAAGAATTCTTGTACTTTTCAAAGAGTTATAGTACAAAACTCAAACAGAAAACGTTAACGTGCATCCTTTTGAAAATCTTATTAACGACTATATGGATACATCTTTAATAGTTATGGGCTATTGTGTTGAGAGCAGTGACCACTTTTACGAAGCAATGAATTCGAATATTTTTGTGAGAGCCTGTTGCTGAAAATGGAATAAATGGAACAATTAATTTTTATTGAAAATATAAAAGTTATTTTCACGAAATACCCGACTGTTTTATTAAATGAATCATCAGACCCACTTAAGATACTTTTATCATTTATAACAATAACACCGCCGTATAAGTTCCAAAATGTACTTAATAATATTTTAATTTCTTAACATCACAGTTGACGTTAAAAAAATATCATGACACTTTCAACTATTTTTTGTTAATAATGAAATATTAATTAAAATTGAAAACGAATTCTTCATTGGAGAATATTCGCAAAATATTATATTTCAGCTGTTACAATCTATTATGTTATTTTACAGGAACAGACTTACTAAGAATCAAATCGTCTGTTCAAAAAAAAGTGAAGCATTGAACATTTTTGTTTCATCGCCATCTATTCTCTTAACGTATTGTATGAATTTAAAAATTTACAAACGGCTGATGTCACAATTGTCATATTAAAAACGGTTAGATAATAACTGAAAGCTAATTCACTCGAAAAGTGAAATTACGATAGAGGCAGGTAAAAAAATCTACAGCGACGCTAAAGCAATGGTTTGAAATATCGCAAGAATATAACTCTTTGATCCATAGTCATTGATTAAACATCAAATTAACATGAACTTGCGTTAAAAGTGTTTACTTCAATAACTCGCTGGAACGTTGTACCCAATAACGAGAAAAATATCTCAAGTTGATCAATTGACAGATTACTTCAACAAACCGGAAACACTTGACAAAGTGGATTTTCCATGCGCAAAAATGCATTCAATTTCAGCGAAGAGGAAAAAGACATACGCGGCGACGTCATCGGCATTTTCAACGGGCTGATGTATGCACATGGATTTCTACTTCACCAAGTACATACAGTCTTTTTTATGACATATAGCTTAGCTCTGTCTCGAGTAACAGTACCAACAAGTTACCGAGAAGTCGTGTCTAGAAATAGATGATATTACGAAAAGAACACGCTATTTTGTTTTATCGCAAAGTGCTGTTTGGCGAAAGCGGCTCGCTCCAATTAAGTGAAAACCGAACGGAGCAGCGATGCGCAGCAGCGGCTGATTTCCATCTATAATACGTAGCCGTCGAACTTGGGAAACGGCCCTCTCCAGGCAAGGTGGTATGAAAAGGATACAAGAGGCCAAATTGAAAGTGATATGCCATTTTTATTAAATGCGTATAAAAAAAGAGAGAAACGATACATTGATGTGTTGCGAGTGTATGCGCGTTTAAACTGTATGAATGAGAAGAGAAGGCGAGAAACGAAGGGAAAGAGATCGGCTCTCCTCGTTCGCACCACGTTTGTACATGTGTGTATATGTGTGTGTGTATTCGTGTGCTTGTGTATGTGTGTAGAGGTACTATAGCGGTCGCTCAATCGGCGGAGATCGTTGGCTAGCTGGAACTCTTTCTGGTCGTCGTGGAAAAAGTTGTGTATTTAGTAAGGTCCCCAGCCAAGGCCACCAGCCTTGATGATACCCGATGGGCCCTTAATCACCGCTCCTGGCGCCACGGGACCTGTGATCGCGGCTGGCCCCGTGTGTGGCCCAGCCAGCACCGCTCCATGTCCTGTGATTTAGTAAGCTAAACGTTTTAGAAAAATGACAATGCGTTAGAGAACTGGAAAGAGCGGCAGCTTATCGACTACAGGGCGAAATGCTGTACAGTCGTTGCGGCACGATTAACGAGGCTGTATCTGCCCGACCGTCGCGGTGGCGCTTGCACGAACTGGTTATTTTATAATTAAATCTCGCAAATGCTCCGCCGAACGGATTTCAGATAGCGTGCTTAGCACGTATCCGCTTTCAATGGTTTTTCTTTGGCTCGCTACCGTCGCCGATAAATCGAATCTTTATTCATGGCAGTAATGCGCGTTCGACTGAAAAATCGATGATTTTATCATGGAAATGTCGAGAATTTTAAAAAACCAACGGCTTTGTCCGTAACAGTCGGCGCGCCACATTTATTTCGTTCATTCGAGTACGGCCGTCATGGCGTCTCGAATTATGCAAGTGCAAAACGTTAACAACTTTTTCTTTGCAAGCAGAACGAATTGGAAAGGATGTTCGAAACACATACAAATTCCACGTCAATTTTCTTTTTCAATTTCTAATCGTAAGAGGGGATTGAAGCGTTCAGGCAATGGAGAATAGGGGATTGGCTTACCCCATCCACCATATCCGTGAGGACCGGGACCAGCAAGGAGGCCATAGCCGTATGGTCCAGGGCCACCGTATGGGCCGCCGTGTGGACCGGGACCACCGAAATGGTCATCTACAGCGGTACCTGAAACGAAGAAAAAGGCTTTGAATCAGCGAAGTGGAATTTTCTTGTCTAATACTTGATTTTCAATTCAATAACGAAAGAAATTAGAAATGCAGATGATTGAAAACAAGTGTTTTAAGGAAGATTTGCTAAATCAATAAATATATGATTATGTGCGAATGGTTCTTTATAATAAAACGTCAGTTTCATCGAGTAATAAGCGAAGAGTAATGTTACCGTACTGCATTGCAATTATTGTCATAAATTATTGTCATTTGAAAGGCAAAGGGCAAAGGAATACCGAAGTCGATGCTTCCTTTAACGGCGGACGGTCCAGTAATGGCACCGGTGACGAGAGCTCCGTGGTCAACGGCACCCGAGAGGCGAGACGGGCCAACGGAAGGTCCAGCTAGAGCAGACGGCCCATTGGAAGGTCCAACGAGGTGGTTGGGTCCGGTGTGTGGTCCGGCGAGGGAGATGCCGTGGCCGTGTCCGTAGTAGCCACCCGGCGCCGCGGAGGCGACAGCCGCCAACAGGAGCGTTGCCACGAAAGCCTTCATTGTCGTCGCTTGTTGTCTTGGTATCAGCTGCTGCGGCTCGTTCGCAAAACTGTTCTGCATTTGGCACGCCGACGACGGCCGCTTTTATACGCTGCTTTGCAGCTCTTTGAGCAACCCTTATGGGCGGGGCGCGCGGCTGGCGAGCGCACGCACGCTCGCCATTTCTCCTACTCCTCGAACGACTCGAGAATTTGCCTTTGTCAGCGGCGAATAATCAAACCGCGGCGCACACTTGCTTGGCCTGCATTTTTTGGGGGTGCCGCCGCCGTCGCCGCCGCCGCCGCCGTCGCCGCCGTCGTTGCTGCCGGTGCTGGTAGGCCGCTCGATTTTGAAAGATTGAGATTTATGCGCGAGTGAGAGTGTTCGTGTGTACGCTGCTCGGATAATGGACGGCGGTGATTAACTGCGCGCGAAAATGCCGCGCGGTCGCGGCCGACCGTGCGTACGTGCGCGCTTTGTTATAGTGCCACTCGCGGGCTTTTCGGCAAAAATCGATTGGGATACGTGCAATTACACTGCGAGCTCATGATTGCCGGCTGTTTTTCATTTTTCCGCTGCTGGCAGCTCGACAGATCCCGCCAGCCTATGAAAGAATATTGGACAACAATTTCTTTTCTCGATTGCGATCGCTGACACGTTCGACTGTTACGTGCGCGCTTGCTTTGTCAACCAAAAGAAAGACAAATTCAAATAAAACATACTTTGTTGTCGCTATCTACGGTTTCTCTGGTTGATAGTGTGTTATTATGCCGAGAGTTTAATTGACATGCATATCTCGCTGATTAAACTGACAGGTTCCGAAGTTGTCGCCGGGCATTATGAAATTATTGTAGAAGTTACGCGTAGGATTCGGATTTTTTTCCCGCTCCTGACTGATGCTTGTAGATATAGCGAGGGATTTTTATATAGTATTCTTTTTATCGATTGCATTATCAGAAAGAAAAAGTATGGCTGAATGCGTTTCAGCGGGAAAACTCGGCGCATTAGCAGGTTTAATTTATACTATCTCGCGCTGGGGGATATATTTATGCCGATATCACAAGAAACTCATTTGCGCGCCCGTGCTAAAGTTTATTGAAATACAGATAATTGCGTATAAAGTTTCGCTCATAGGATATATTTCTTTTGTGTAGTCTCGTCGATGCACGTAGTCCCGGGCGCTCGCCTTCTTTCTCCGCGCATTCCGAGCGCCAGTGTGGATGTGCGTTCGACGTGCACAATGAAAATTGGCGCTTTACGAGAATACCGATCCCTCTCTCGAATTTCTCGATGGGCCAGAGAGGCCGCGCGCAGAAGGAAAAGAGAGCCCGTCGAACGTTTCCTTCGCTTCCCTGCCAGTCGCTCCATCCGATTACCGACACAATAAGCTCGCGGGCGCGCTCGCGTTCCGTTACGTAATGCGTTATAGAGAGAGAGAGAGAGAGAGAGAGAGAGAAAATAGAGCCTGTTACGCCTGCGTGGGCGTTAAAATCGAGGTGAAATTCGCGCTGTAAGGTGGATGCGATTGAGACAGTCGTCCGCGCGGGCCTCGATTAGCACAACGCGGGCAATCGAGTCGCGTAAAGCTATCCCGGGCGCTCGCCTTCTTTCTCCGCGCATTCCGAGCGCCAGTGTGGATGTGCGTTCGACGTGCTCGCTCGACGCTTTAACAACCGAGACCGCGCAATCGGAGGGCCCGAAACAGTATAGCCGATATGGCATAAGTCCTCGCGTGCATCTTCTTGCTTTCGCTGCGACCTATCATTCGTGCAATAGCGGAACAAAAACGCTCCTTTACAAAACCCCGCGGAGGCGCGTTTCGCGTGCGGTCGCCGCGTTGTTTGCCCAACGAACAACTTTTCAAGCGGAAAATTGCTTTAATTCGCGCTGCTTCTTCCTCTAGGTTTCAAATCGATAGTCGAATACTACTGTTTGTCACAGTAGTGCTTTTGTCATTCGTCCTATCATGTTTCGCGTAAAAAACTATAACGGATTGTAAAATTTAACGAGTGTCCCTCGAAAATACAAGAAAAAAACATCGATCCATCATTCACTTTATACATCGATAAAGAACTTTTTTCCTCGTTTTACCATCAGCGTAATACATCACGAATATAAATTTTCCCCATGAAAATACATTTTCAGTGGAAAATATATGTTTTTGGCTTTTTTCATCGACAGGCCCAGAAAATAAAAGTCCACTAAAAATATATCTGTTTCGGATCCAATCCACCAGCCGATATGAATGTTTCTCCTCGCGAGTAGCGAGCAAGCGAAGATTGTCCATTCGGTCCGACGATCGCGGACGACAAAGCCCTCGGTCGAGGCCCAAAAGATCAGCGACGACTAATTTTGGTCCGGCTGCTCGTGCTCGCGCCACGCGCCGGCAGGGCGTTACGTTGACAGCGAGGAATGCGCTCACGCCCTGCGCGCGGCCTTTCTAATCGCTGCCCGCGCGAGCGCCGTTTGTTGCGCGAGCTACGCGATAGGACTACCCGACCGAGCGACGCGTCTGCGCAGCATTGACACGCTATCCTTGGCCGACCTTGGCGCGTCTTCCATTGTTCCGTCGGCGCGAGGATCGGCGACGACGAGCGAGGCTCGCCGATTCGCGTGCAGCGCATTGTTGCGGCGCCCGCCGCCGTCGGCTGCGTCGGCTCGCGGAGTCGGAGAAACGAGTTATCAGTGCGCCCACGCCCGTCGCGCGACTCGCATTGTACGGCCTCGTAAATGCGCTACTCCGCGGATCGCCGCGTTAGCCTGCCGGAGAGCGGACAGCAGCGACCGGTTCACTCGAATTCCTTGCCATTCCGTATGTGCACGCGTGTACAATGGATTCGCGCGCGCGGTTGCGGCACCCAGATGACCCCGAATTTTTGGCTCGTTCGCGGCCTCGTGGCAGCGATCATTACTTCTTGCAAGACAATCGGTTGCAACTTCCATTGTCGCGGCTAACTTGGACGTCTAAATAATCGCGTAGATGCGGGCCATTTGTTTCCACCGCGTACGCAACGGCCGGAAATATCGCGAAATGCGTCGGGTGATAAAGTTTCGCGGATGAGAAGAGAAAAGGAAAATAACGGCTGTGGAAAGTGAAAGCAATACTACTCGTGTATTGTCGCGACTGGAGAAGAAAAAAAATCATAACGCCAGCTGATTTATCGGCAATTTACATCGACATATGTGCGCGTGCGCGCACGTAGGTTTTGTCTCTTGTTTGTACGACCTGTCCGTCAAATCATTATTGACGTTATCGCGCAACCCATTCGCATGAATATGACATCTACTTTTGAGATTTCTCGACGCTTTATGTCGTGGAAATTGATTTCGCTACTGGCACGATAGTTTTGAAATGATTTCATTTAGTTTTATCGCCAGTCGATTTCGACGCTGCGCCATTATATTTCGTTAATTTGCAAAATCGACCATTTCAAAGGCATCTAATATCGCGTTCGTTTTTTTCTTCAAATAAGTAATATCTAGCAAACCGCAACGAATGATGCAAAACAGAGAAAAAGAAAACAAGCTATGCAGTCTTCACAATAGCTCGTTAACGTTGAATATTTGGCAATGGATAGATATAATATCGATAAATTGCCGGCGCAAGCAGTAGCGATCAAACCTTGGAAAAGGCGCAATCGTAAAAAACCAACAAACGGCGAGTTTTTGGAAGTGCACCAGTGCGCGCGCAGACAAAGCAGCTGATTTATAGATCGCAATGATCCGGATGTAAGTGATCCGTCGGCAAATGATAAATGCCCTTAGCGTTAGATCGTAGAAATTCATCGCGCCCCCTTCACCTCTCTCTCACATATCGTCCTAACCGGCAATCCATTGATAGATACGCTTGCGTCGCGATACCAGAGAGAGAGAGAGAGAGAGAGAGAGAGAGAGAGAGAGAGAGAGAGAGAGAGAGAGAGAGAGAGGGTGAGCAGAATTATGGCACGTCGGGGATCGCTCCAATTCCGCCGGATCGAGTTTGCGTAATTAAGTCTTTAAAAAAAATGAAGCATTGTTACGCCACATGGTTGTGCGCTCTCTCTGTCTGTCTCCGACTAAAGCGCAATGTTTTTCTTATTTTCGTTCTCTAAAAAGCCGCACAGTGAGCAATGAAGTTTAACTGCCAGGCAGCAGGAGATATCGCGTTGTCGATTCTTCGCCAAGATAGAATATCAGGAGTTACGCACTTGCCCCGCCAAGAAAATGGAAACTCGCGATCGCGCAAGTGCAAGCTTTTGTTTGCCGGATAAAGTCGAGCTCTCGGCGGGACGTAATCCACTGGCGTTCGCAATCTAAATTACCGAGCCCGAGCGGGCGAGCTACTATCAAGCGCGGACGCAGCGACAGGCGGTTTCGCGTGCGGCTTATATTAATAGCGCAGCGACGATATTTAGGTTTACAGCCCTATCACCCCATAAATCCGTCGGCACGCGCGCCCGTGACGCATTAAAGTGCCATTGTTCGCGCTTTTTCCAATCACTTGGCCGCGCGCGGCAATCTCATGGTTTCTTTGTAGCCGCGCGGTCTCTTTCTCACCCTCTCACTGCGTGCGGCGAGAGCGAGATACGTACGCGCGATCGACCTTTGCTTGTCGTTGCAGGCCAAATAAAGCATTCCGCGTTTTTCTTTTTTCTCGCGACCGGTAGCTTTTCAAAGCCGCTCCCTCGCAAGCTCCTACGTACGCGTGTCCCATTGCGGCGCGACAATGAAAGCTCAAACACGCGCGCGCCATTCGAAACTACGTCGTTCCAGATTTTTATTAGGATTCTCGACTTTTCCTATGCTACGTTACGTGTGCTGGCGAAAACAAAAAAAGAAACAGAATCTTTCATGTAGAAATATCACTAGGCTACTTTGTTACTCAATGCTAATGTGTATTTTTTTTATAACGTGTAAAACTTGTGTGCCTGCATTGATATATCTTATCTTTGTGTTTTTATACTGCTGCAGATAGAGATTTTGAAAGGCATAAAAAAAAATTCCTTTCAAGCAGTCATGGTAGAGTTTTTGAAAATTATACACGGCTTTTCTACTTTACTGGGTTACTCGTTAACCAAAGAACAATACAATACATTTTTTTTTTGAGAAAAATCTGAAGTTTACGGTATAAGTTAAAAGCTAGCGTTGTTACGAGTTTTGTCGAAAAGTCTTCACGTACGAAGTAGGAATGTTATATTTTACTAATGCAAAAATCAAGCAGAAAAGATGCAATTTAGAGGCTCGAATGAGCGGGAAAATGTCGGGCGGAAAAGTCTTGTGCAATTCTAAAGTTTTTACATTTTTTCAGGTCATACTTTTTTTTATTAAATTTCGCTTTGGAGTTAACAACTATCATTCGAATTTCAAACTGAGAAGTGAATCGACGTCAAAATCAGCAAGAAGAAACTACAGTTGCTAAACTTAAATTTGTCAACTTTATGAAAGGATTAATCTCACTTTGATTCGCGCACCAGATTTTCAACATACCCAAAATGACTCGATTAATAAAAGTCAACGTAGGGTCGACGAATATTCATTTTCAGCGGATTATCAACTAAGTAATTTAACACTAGACTCGCATGTAATGAGCATTAGCGTCGATCGGGCGTAATATTCATTTTGCACGAAACAAGTTACTGAAAGCAAAAGGAATTCTCTCCTGTCGGCTAATTCCAGCATTACGAATGCGTGTACGCCCCTAGACGATCTTACATTTGTAAGGCGTGTACCGGCATTACAAAAGACTTATTTTGTCGCCTAATACTGAAAAGCCGAGTTATCTACGATAAGCTTTACCCCGCAATGAGAATGTTTTCACCGAACCGCGTCACGGTGGACCAGGAAGAAAGTTGAAAAAGAACACGCCCGGTAGATCGACGGTTTGGCCCGTGCGAACGACCAGACAGAAAAGAAACAATCGCGTACGTGTGCGTGGCGACCGTGCGTTGCGCCAATAAGCTGCTCGCAAAGTAATTCGATGCATTTTCTTGTCTTTTTTCGCGCGCAAAAGCGTTGTGTATCGCAATATAATTGCACGCGACCTTGCTAGACTGCGCTCGCTGTGCGACCACACCTCGGGTCGACGTTATCTCAAGTTCGGAATGCACTGACCCGGACAGCCGCCGTCGCCACGTGATTTATAGCGAGAGAGCGAGAGCGCGCTGAGGCGAAATTTCTCGTTGTTGCGCGCCTGTACAGGCAAATGATAGCAAGAGTGGCTCGACAATTGGCAGGTGCTCGCGAAAAGAAAAGAAAAAAGAAAAAAAAACAAGAGAGACTTTCCAATTTGAATGGATTGCGCAAGCGCGCAATTTGCTTGGCGCTCGAGCCGCGACGATTTATGAATCCATTTAGTATAAGTTCTCATTAACAATAAGAAAAATCACGGCGTCTGATATCGTACGCGAGTTCGGCGTGCACGCGCGCACGACGGAACGAAAAAAGACGCACGATACGATAACGTAACCGGCGCGGCGCGCGCGACCGATTGGAAAAATTATCTATTACACTTTGCGCATTATCAGCGTCGATCTTGCCACCCAGCGGCGCGCGTGTCGTTTAATTATTCGGTGTAAGAACGAGGAAACGGTTCATTATTATGCGTTTGACAAAGTGACACTTGCGAGCGCATTGAATAATTAACGAGCGAGAACGTCACGGGGGCGGGAGGGTGGAACGAGAGGGGCGCGGAGGGCGGGGGCTGAATTCGCGGGCGACATGCGTTGTCGACGCAACGTGTTTTCAATTTACCAGTGGCACGCAAGCACAAAGCGCCATAAGTCAGACGCCGAGCGCACGGAAGTCTGTGTCTGTCCCGTCCGTAACTACGGCCTATTTATCTTGAATATCGAGTCGTCATCCATCAAAACGCATTGGCTGCGAGATAGGAGAGACTTTGTTGCGCAACTAGGCGCGTGTGCGCGCCCAAACGGTTTTGCGCAATGCGCGAATATTCGACGGAGAGCAGTCGATCGAGTTTTCTGAAGGAGAGAGAGAGGGAGAGAGAGAGAGAGAGAGAGAGAGAGAGAGAGAGAGAGCGAGAGAGAGAGCTTGATCCACGCTGGAGTTGAGCAATGCCGGGACGTGATGCTTTTTGCAAAGTATTGTTCTGTGCAGCCAAAAGCAATTACGAGAGAGACCGACTCCTCTGACCTGCTCGGCGATTATTTGGCCACGAGGCGCATGCACTCGACCTTTCGGAATGCTGCCGTAGTGCGCCTCTCACAATGCACCGCCTGCATGCAGTGATGAAACGGCCCGAGATTACGCAGTCGCGAGAAAAGCCTAATAGAACGTTATACAGCTTGGCTTGTATGTATCGAATTATCGAGCTCTCCGACTGTTCCCACAGGTGCCGATTCGTGGGAATCGACGATTTTAGCCCTTGTATGGCGACCATTTTTGCTCTCGTCTCCATGACTCTTCATAATTCTCTCTCGCTCCCTCTCCCTCGCCCAGTAAGGCTTGGCCTGACGCGATCATTGTCTCAGCTGCCAAACTCAATTGAACGAGCCGTGTCTAATCTCTAGTTACTTCATTGGGTTCACGCGGAGCTCGTGTGTTGTAAGGAGGTGTCGGTTATTCGCAATTTTCGCTGCGATTACCGCCAACAGCTTTAGCCGCGGCCAATTTGCATCAAATAGACAAGCTTCTCTCTCCCTCTCTTGCTCTCTCCGGTTTTATGACCGCTTAAACTTCCTATTTACGATTATTCTGCACGGCTATCGTGTCGCTTTTTTGCACCTGCGTAAATTATCTTCTAATTTCAAGATAAAACAAATTGAACGATACTATTATCGTAAAATTACCGGTAGATTGTTATTCGTGTAGATGTATGTGTATACAAGAATGATACAGTTGCTAGCGCGCGAGCGAGCAGACTGTTGTCGACGAGTGGAGATTACAACAATTTTTTTCTGTCGACAGAATGGCATTTCTCGAAATGTTCCACGTTAGCTTTAGAATGCTTGGCGCTGAAAGAGGGAAAAACTTTGAAGATAACAATTGGAATAATCATTGAAAATCGTGCGTTTATTGAGCGTGTATTTACTTATATTTACATACACCGCTAATTTTCACCGAGTCGCATAAAAAAAAGTTACACAGATATAAGTATTTTATGTGTTTATATGTATATTCAATGGCATGAATCTCTCGCGACAGTTTGAGGGAGATGAACAGGAAGTAAAAGGTGGAGGACAAAAGTAGAAGAGTATGAGTAGAGAAAAGTGAGAAATGCAAGCATACACATCCAGAGCGGACGACCTCTCGCTCTTTAGAGTTGGCGAGCACAAAGTCGTCCGCTCCACATATAATATATTGGCACATGTGTCGTTCGTCGGTCGCGATGCCGTCAGGTACTCGTCGTTCCGCAGGCGTTCCACTCGATTATACATATTTAGTTATTTAAAAAAAACAAGTTATATCTGAAGTTGAGTTCCGCTATCTATCTAAATAAAAAAAGGAGGGCAGGGGTGAGGACTCCATCGTCGTCGATGTGCTACATTTTTACCAGTGGCCGTGTCCGTGACCGGTGACAATAGCAGCACCATGACCGGCTCCATGCGTCGTGATTTTACCAGAGGGGCCAGCGATCACGACAGATCCAGCATCTGGGCCAGAAACGGCAGCTGGACCGGCGTGTGGTCCAGAAATGGCAGCTGGACCGGCGTGAGGTCCGCCGAGATGAATGCCATGAGCGTGGGGTCCAGCGATATAGGCGCCGTGATGGCCGTGTCCGGCGAGGACGACACCGTGGTGAGCCGGTCCAGCGGCGACGTATCCGTGGTGGCCTGGTGCTACGGCTACGACGCCGTGGTGGCCGTAACCGTGACCTGCCAATGCGTGGCCGGCGTAACCGTAGCCACCGTATCCGTAGCCAACGTGGGCGACGCCTGTAACGTCAGTGTGATTCGTTAATTAACGATTCGCGTGCTGTCGTCGCTGTTGCTAATCGATTAATCGTGTCACGCGCGAATGCGTTCACATTTGGACCTTCTTCATCGTTTCTACTCCCTGTCTGATATGAAACTTTACACTTGTCACCATACCCATTATCCGGAGTTACAGCTATTGTATTATATCGAATTTCATACAACTTTTTAACTAGACATTAGGTTTAATTACGCTGATTACACGATGGTCAGACTAATGAGACCATTGACTTATGTCTGTCGTGGTATTGTGTTTCACTTTATTTATTTCTGCTTGTAGAATTTCATTTTTTCTTGTTCATTCAATGCTTCATAAGTGCAAAAAATAATAGTGCATTCAAGTGTAAAAGCCATTGATGAAAATAAACGGAACAATCGATTGCAAATTGATTTTCCAACCAAATAATGTCTAAGGCCATACATGCTAATGATCAGATTAATTCCAAAACCAGATTGAGTAGCAATACACGAGAACAATGTGTGTTTCAAAATGTTGCACAATGAAAGTATTATATTGTTATCCGTCTATCGGACAATTGGAATGTGTAAACCGATTTCACATTGAAAAATCCGCGTGTGGAGTAGACGAAGGCGTTGAATTTGTCGAAGAATAGAGCACTGCGTTTACACTAATAGAGTAACAAGATCGAATATATCATAAGATAAGTGTCCACGTACCGGAAACAAAGCGACACTAAGCTCTGCGGCCTAGGATAAGTTATAACTATTATTGAGTGCGTGTGTGTGTGCGTGTGTGTAGCTTTCAAGCAAACATATAAATAGCCGCGACGAAATGTCGCAAGCGATGCATTCTTTATTCATTGATAAAAGCCTCGTGCCTTTGCTTTATTATTGTGACTAAACGCCGATAAACATTGGCTTCGAGCGTAAACAACCGGCGCAAGACCTATCGTACACTTTCCATATTGTTCAATCGACTGCAATCGTGCGAACACTGTTATGTGCGCTTTTCTTGACGGCTACGAAGGTCAGCGTTGGCTTTTTTTTTCACGCTCCGATCATTACCCTTCATGTTTAATTCAGTTATGCCACAATGCTTGTTCTTTTTCTTTTATTACCTTGGCTTTCTACCGATAGATATGCTATGTAATCGTCTTTCTTTTATGTTGCGAAAAAAAAACACTTTTTTTACGATCAATGCAATTTTAGAAAAACGTAATTGTATATAATCCGTCATGATATTGGCTTTTGAAAGGCGATGCATATCCTTAGTTTTTCTTCTGCAAATATTGCTAAGCGTACGTTGTGAATGGAATTCGATTTTGGTAAACTACGTACCTGCAAATGTTGCGTGATAATCGGTTTTCGCAATAGCAAACAAATTAGGCTTTGGAACAACCCTCACCGGTGAAAGTTTTGCGGTTGGATTTCCGTCATAAATTCACATTTTGATTGCCGAAATTACTATGCAAGGCTTTAATAATTTTGCGAATATCGAGCACTGTAACGCTATGTCTGTTTTTATTAAACTAGGGTTTGGATTTGTCTCACTTTTTTCTAATAAATTGCTAAAATTCTATAACCATTAATATTTACTTGTAATGAAATATTGCATTGATATTCACTATCCAATAAATCGATGAATTTTAATCATTCGACGATATATTGAAAAAATATACAAATTATGAAACAGTCGTATCAGTAAAGGATATTGCTGGTAATACTTATTTATCAGAAAAATTGATCAAAGTACATGCACGAGTGTATACAAAGTAACTGGCTTTATGATAATTGCAGTGGTGATTAGATAATAGCGGAGATTATCAACTCTGCCAATAATAATTACAATATTATTACAGCACGAGCTATCGTCATGTACTGGCCATCATTTCAATGCAAAATCACAATTTAGATTATTATTAAACAGCGATTACTTCTTTCACAATCACTCATTATTTCAATCTCTATTTCATGACTATCATCCGATGTCTACTTTCTCTGACGATCTTTTATCGTAGCTATTTTTCTACAGACAAAAAAATTATGTTTCGAGCTTACCAGCATGATGGCCATCGTATGGTCCAGGTCCGTCATATGGACCTCCGTAGTGCTCAACGTGAGCGGGTCCAGCGTGGGAGGCGGATACAACGGACGGTCCACTCACGGCACCAGTGACAACGGCGCCATGGTCGACAGCGCCAGAAAGACGAGATGGTCCCACGGAGGGTCCAGCAAGTACGTTAGGTCCATTGGCAGGTCCAACGAGGTGGTTGGGTCCGGTATGAGGTCCAGCCAGGGAGATACCGTGGCCATGGCCATAGTAGCCTAAGTCTCCGTGTCCGTAAGCCAGGGCACCGTGTCCGTAGCCCAATCCACGCTTTTCACGCACGTCCGCGCTCGCGGCGGCGAAGACGGCGAGACAGATGATCTGCGATTCATCATTTCATTGTTTGTCAGCTTAGTAAACATTTTTCGTAGCAACTTGAAACATTTTCAGTAGTAATATCCGATTATAGTAGGACACGTTGCGTGTAGATTCAACAGTGGTAGACTAGTACAAGATGTTCCTTCGCGAGCGCGCCATTGTTTGCAAGTGAACCGTGGCAGGTGTGTATGAAATGACTCGATGAATATGTAAAAAGTAACAGCTGTATCATTCGCTCTCACCCGTAGCGGAGAATTAATTTGAGAGTGCGCGATAATGGAATGAATCCGATGAATGGAAGTAGACTAAGAAGCAAATTTTCCGCAGGCTGTTTCATCTGCCAGCAAGTAGTAGCAGACGAGCTAGATAAGACGGCGTGCTGGTTACTACTGCAATAACTCTTTTATAGCGCATAAAAGTGGTTAACTACGACACGCGTGACGTGTGTATCCGAGGCGGTCGAGACAGTTCTTTTTTTTTCCTTTAAAGTCTTCGTGCTGAGAGTAATAAAGAAGAACGAGGAGTGCATGGCAACAGTATTCGCGGAACATTAATGTTTTATAAAAATAAAAAAATGGACTTTTTTGATTATAGACGAATGCTTAGATTACACGTTATTTTTGTTTGTTTTGTTTTTATTCAAGTAGTAATCGTCGTTTCGGTCAGACGCGTAAAAAATCGCAAATTCAAACACTAACAGCTACATTTCGAGCACTATTCCAAAGCATAGAAGTATCGCAACGAGTGTGGAAAATAAAAAAAAGAGTAATTATTTGCTGAAACACTGTCGGAAGGAGCACCCGCGCGTTCCTCGAATGAACACCAAAGAGATATCACGCACCCGTGAAAAACTTACTGTTTTTTCGCGCACACAAGAAACTGTCCTTCGCACAAGAGATACCCCGAGCGCAAAGCGACAAAAGCAAAACCGGCAATCGATGTCACAGGCGCACTGTGCAGCAGGTAGAAACACAGCGCGTCGATTAATGTTGAATACTTACGAAACCCTTCATGTTGTCTTGGAGGAGTTAGGTTGGAGAGTCAGTGCCGGCGGTAGGATCGTGATGGCGCTTATATATGCTTGGCGACCGCGCCCCCGCGCGCAACAGCTCTCTCTCTCTCTCTCTCTCTCTCTCTCTCTCTCTCTCTCTCTCTCTCTCTCTCTCTCTCTCTCTTTCTTCTATGTGTATGTGTGCAAGTCTGATCCCTTCGAATAATCGGGGGGAGAGCCGCGTAACCCATTGTGCAAGAAGGTCGCAATCGTTGGACACACCCATAACAGTTTGTGCCAGTAGTGTGCGCCTCACTCGCGTACTGCTCGTACGGCCTTCGCTCATTTTTTTGTTCTAGCTGCACTACCCCTCTCTCTCGCGCTCGTTCGGTCGCAGCTCGTATCACTCGCCTCCATTCGTCATACGCGCGGATAACCCACCTTTTGTCACGAGCGCCGCGCCCTTGTCGCCACCAGCTGCCGTCGGCGTGCTTTTACATATAAAGCTAATCGTGAGGCCGCGGCGACTCCGAGTCGACGTTCGAACGCCGAGCAGCTGTGACGACGACTATCCGCTGGTATTCTCGGCTCGCGGGATAAAAAAAAATGGGAGCGGACTTTTCTCAACGCACACACGCATCGCCAGCAAGGAACCGATACGTTTCTCTTTCTCTGTCTATCTATCGCTAATTGCATGCGCACAACTGCTTGATTACTAACCGGTATTAATAACGCTTCTGTAATCGTTCCGCCTCGATCGTTACTCTATTATATTCCATGTGGCTTTCCAAACGCCTCAGCGGTCGTTCTGGCAAGGAACTACGCGCCGCCGAAAAGCAAAAGTCTTTGCGCGCTTGCGTCGTTTGATAATCGCGGTGGGATGCCGAGGAATGGACGCGATCGCTGCTAATAGCTCGCCGATCGACATTTACGGTCATTGTCTGGCGCGCCGAGGCGGACGCAATGGCAGCTCAACTCAGCTGGAGGCCAAATCAGAGATGCTCCGCGAGGGCATGCAAATCGGTCGTCGACGGAGGCAACGATACACCTGTCGCGCTTCGTACGTTTCTCGCTTTTCCTTCTTCTTGTCGTATCAACGGTTGCGGCTCCTATACTTTTTTTGTTTGTTTTTTATGCGGTGTACACCGTTTGCGAAACCGTCAGGCGGGAGCGAGCGGATCGCCGTTAATAGCTCGACAAGTGAGAAATCGCGTATGAAATTTAACACTCTGTCGCGATTCGATTAGCGCTGAATTGATGAAGCTATTCATTACGCTGGATGACACCTTGATTACGTTTAGAAAATGTGCGCACGCGGCTACACCACCGTCGGTAATTGGAGTGTAAACGCGTGGATTTTCGATACCCTTTCGTCGTTGCGCAAAAGCTACGCTGCACTGAACGGCGGGAACGATTCCTCCATACGTTTTGCTTTTTATTAACATTGTAAATTATGTATAATTATTCGAGCATTCAAATAAATTTGGCCGTGCCTTGACCTACTTGCTAGAAAAGAATCTTATTATGCGCCCTCGCGCTGAAACTCCGTATAGTAAGTAATGAGCGATTGTCTATAAGCATAATTACTTCAAGACTTTAAAATTCGTTTATTTTAGCAATTTATCATAATTTGCTTAACGGCGGGTGTGTATTATTATCTTTTAATAGATCAATGCGTGACTTCGTTCAAAATATATTCATTATTAATTCATTCCACTACGTAACCACTACGTACAATCCCTTCGTGTTTTGCATTCAACGACCGCCGCGTAAAGGCGAAGAGCTTTAACAAATCATATCTTTTGAAAAACTCCTAAGAATTGAGTTTCCATCTATTTTAATGTCAGAATGCATATTCGTTACCGTTGAGGTAAGCTGCAGGTATGTTTTAGGTAAAATTAAGTAAATGGAGTTGTAATAAATGGTTCACTCTCGGAAAACACGGCGCATTCAATTAAGAGCTGTTTGACCTGAAAAGCTTTCATCTAAATGCTGTAACTTCATTGTCTGTGTCTCTATTTCTTCTTCGCGTGTTCGCACGTGTTTGCGCGTGTTTCCTGATATTACTCTCACAAAGAAAATTTTAATAGAGTGTCAGTACCAATGTAAATTTTAATGACAAGTACAATATGCTTAAGCCCGTTGAAAAATTATTATTCCATGATATTATATGGCTTGGAAAAGTTTACGTATTATTTCAGGTGTACAAGTCGTTGATTCTAAAAGATGCAATGAAATTGAATCGAGAGAAATCGTTGATACAAACGCCATCTACCGATTTCAGTCAGAGCTTTTCTGCTTTTCTTTTCTCATCAATTAACTTTCTTCGAAACAATAAAATTACATTGTTTCATTGATCTTATGTCAATTCCAAAATGCATACATTAATATTTTTAAATTCTGACTATTTTTGATCAAAATTTACCGACTGCACAATGATGAAAACTCTATGATCGGTAGAATGTTTTAGCGACCTCTGGGTCGGTTTAGTTTCTGCTTATGTAAGTAGGATTAGTAGTGTCTTAAGAAATAACTGCCTTGTATTTTGTCAACAGCATAACTTGATCAAGAGAATTGTGCATTTGCATTTATTAACAATATATGTTCCAAATAACAGCTTTTGTCTACGCGCATATATTTTCAGCTTGATTTCTCTATATAGCAATATTCTAGGTGAATTCCATGATGCAAGTAATGGATTTACATTCTCATTGTTTTACAGGTATACATGATAGAATTGACTGAGTACATTTTTAAATATAATTTTCTCTGCACTCTATTATTAGCTGCAGTTAAATCACTTGCTACTTAAATACCATGTTTATCACTAAACACAGGACCGGTAGATAAATATGGCAGAATATACGGATATCTATACAGGATGTTATTGCAAGTTACATTCATACACACACACACACACATACATATACACTCTGCAAGTAGATTATTAAAAAATTACAAATTAAAAAAGATGTGCTTGAAAACTACAATTAAGAACATACAATAGGTCTACATAGAAATTTCTATTCGGTAAAATATCTAGTGTAATTATAATGCGACGAATGTAATTGAACGGTACAACGTATTCGATTAGTCTCGCTTGTTTTTATCATTAACGAGCTAAACGTTAAGTAGATTATAAAGTTGAAATAGAAAAGTGTCTCAATATATCCTGTTTTGTGTCTCAATTTTTGCACTATTTTTTTTTTTTTTTTTTTTTTTTTTTCGTATCGTTGGCAAAACGAGTGTCTCTACCAATGTCAATCAAACTTGCAGGTTGCCCCACACTTTGCAATGCAGGCGAATAATTATAACATGGATAGCTGCGATCGAATGTGTAGCATGACTTGCGCAAGCTCGCGAGTATAGAGTAAAATAGAGATAACTCTGGGATTTTTCAAATATGCTCCTAATTGGCTTTGCACACAGCAGCATGACGAGGCGTAATGAATACTAAATATAGCCTGCCAATTTTGCGATCATGAATTTGTTCGGTTGTAATTGAAATAGTTGCTTGGACTTGCGACTTAAAAATGTATGCATCGGTTTACTGAGCGAGTTTACTGAATTGAACAAAGGACTATTTTTTCTTCCGAGCTGGCGGATTCGCCAACAAGATTGAAGCAGTAAGCGTCGAAGGTAGCTTGGATGAGTATACGCTGGTTCGATCGCCTAAGGTACGGATCGGTGTCGGATGAGGCACGAACGGTTGGTGGTACGAAGGCAAGACAGGAGTTGACAGAAGGAGGTTTGTATGTAGGTAAGGGCGCAGAATTAGCGAAAACGAATAGAACAGATTGAGTTTTAAATACTGATGCTTTATTTTTATATAAAGTATTGTATAAATGTATAAACGCTATAAATACGTGGCATCTATCTATGTTGGTGTTGTTGGTTGGGTGCTAGTCGTGATCGCATAGAAAGGGTATGACGAGGGCGGTCGGGTTTGCGTCCACGCGGGACCACGGCGGCGGCGCGCCATCTATGTACATTCATTCATTCGCGAAGGGGGGCGGGGATCACGGCTTAAAACCTACCATAATCTACCGGTCTCCTCTTCGCTATAACATAACATCTGTAATATGCGTAATATGTATATAATATACGTATAAAAAAGAACGGGGGATGAGTATACACATGTAGCCGTAGTGTAGTACGTGTATTCTGCGTATATAATATATAAAAAACATGAGAATGACAGAAGACAGACAGAAGAGTCGAGAAGAGAATAGTAATAGTAGTTAAGGTAGTGTGGCACATTCGATGCACATTGGACGAGTTTACGAGACAAGTGTGCGTGTGTTGCTGTTGCCGTTTCCTTTTCTGCGTGTATCGTGCGCGTCTGTGTGCAGCGGTGGATAACAACATCCGAGGACAACAGGGCGCGCGGGAGCGCCTTGCGCCTCCAGATAATATTACAATAATACAAGGAAAACAAGAAAAGAAACCACGTGGCATTCGCGTGCCAACAACGGGGTCGAGCGGAATTTTTTTTCTCCATTTTTTTTCTCTTGGTTTTTTTCTTTTTTTGTTTTTTTCGTTTTTCTTGGTCGGTGACGATGATGTTGGTGTGATGATAATAAGCGATGCAACCGCTCAAAAAACAGAACGACTAGCTCCGCTTGCTCGACTCGTTGCCTAAATATACGTGTAACACATATACAACGCGCGGTGCACTCGGTGAGTTTTCTTCATTTTTTTTTCTGCTTTTTTTTTCTCTCAGTTTAATTATTTTTTGGTGTACTCGTTTGGCTGGTGTGAGAGTGTGGGTGTGTGCGTGTACGTGAGTGTACGTGTGTCGAGGCTCATCCGGCTAACTTAGGCCCGTGGCTCAGGCTCACCGATCTCCACAGCATCTTCACACAGAATCACTCGCGGGACCGGAGCGCGGGACAAACAAACAAAAAGTAGCAATTTTTCTCCAGAGAACAAACAAAACAAAGAAAAAGAAGCGCTCGCGCGGGATCCCGAGTCAACGAGATCCAACGTTTCAGCCGACAATTGACTAAATAGTGGACGCGTCGTCCTAGTCCTCACATCCGAGTAGCTGAGTGCGTAAGACGACCACGTTTATCACCTATTCCTCTCCGTCTCTCCGTGTTGCGTGTGTGTTGCTTGTGTGTTGGCATGAAGGTTGAGGGGGGGGGGGGGTGGCAGAACAGAGTTTAGCGTGTTGTGTGTGTACCGTGTTATGACTGCAAGCTCGCCGCTCCATTATAGCGTCCGTCTGACTAAGAGTTGAAAAGCGCGGGGATTCGGGGGGCCAGCCAGGGGCGCGCGCCATCAGCAAATCTCTGACTCGCGCACACGGAAGAGATAGATAGACGATAGCACAGAGACAGAGAGAAGAAGAAAAGTCGAGCAAAGAGGAAGAACAGAGAGAGAACAGTAGTAAGAGACTAAAAGTGAGAGATAGAGAGAGAGAGAGAGAGAGAGAGAGAGAGAGAGAGAGAGTTGAGACAAGTGAGCGCGCTTTGAGTATCCGTTCGACCGGTATGACTATGGTTGGTGTGCCGCCGTCGTCTTTCATCGCCGAGATGACTCTAATCCGCATTACCACTTGCCATGGTAGCCGCCGGGGATGATGGCTCCGTGGGAGCCAAGTCCGGCGTGGATGGCACCGCTGGGTCCGTTGATCACTGCGACGCCAGCGTCGTGTCCGCCGATTCCTCCGTGGATGCCCGGGCCACCGCCGATCACGGCAATGGCGCCGGCTCCGTGACCTGAACGACACGAAGGATACACTTAGGATCAGGCTTATTTTGCGACTCAACACTCTGCGGCGATAGGGCATTGCATCCCGGGACACGCTAGCTCCGACTCTCGGACTCTGGCGCTGAGCGGCTAGCGGCTCGACGCGAATACTCACCACCTCCAAGACCGAGGCCACCTCCGAGTCCAAGACCACCGGGCGCGGCCGCGGCGGCGGAGCCGGAGCTGCCGTCGTCGCCGTTGATGCCGCCGGAGCCAGCGTAGAAGGCGACGCCGCCGTAGCTGGGTCCGACAAGGTTAGCGGTGGCCTGGGACGGGCCGACGAGGGTGGCGGTTCCCTGGGACGGGCCGACCAACGTCGACGGTCCGGCGGCGGGGCCAACGAGGCTGGCTGGTCCGGTGCGCGGTCCGCCGATGGACTTGGCTCCCTCCTGGGGTCCCACCAGGTCGGATGGGCCGCTCTGGGGTCCTACGTTGGCCTTGGGACCCTCAGCGGGTCCGATGTCGGCCCTTCCGCCGAGAACGCCTGTGGATTGCGAGCGAAAGCTGAGTGCGCCGAGCGCCGATCGGGGGAGAGGAGCCCCGGAGCTTGCCAGGCGCCTCGGCGCCCGCGCACTCGCAGAGTCAGCCTGCGGAGCGCCGAGCGGGCTTCGCCGAGGGACGCCCGTGCGGGGCCGGGGGGGAGCGCGGGAGGGCGCCTACCGCCGGAGACAATCTGCTGAACTCCCGCATGTCCAGCCGCCGAGGCGGCACCCGCAGCGTAGTTGGCGCCAAGTCCGCCGGAGCCGAGGCTCGAGGCGCCGCCCTGGAGCGCGTGGGCAGTGCCAGCGCCGGCGGCGAGTCCACCGCTAAGTCCCGCTCCTCCGTGTCCACCACCGTATCCGCCGTAGCCGCCGTAGCCTCCGTGAGCGATGCCGGCGCGGGCCGTCGCGACTGACAGGCAGGCGAATACGATCTGCAACGCAGCCGGAGAGCAAAGTGTACAGTGGGTCGGTGTGGATGCAGCGCCGAGAGCAGTTCCCACAGAGAGCAGCGGCAAGTGCAAGTGTATCCCACGCGCGACTATGAGCGTGCACAGCGAGACAGCGGGGGCACGATTACTCATGCGAGAGAGCCGCGCGGCTCGCTTTCACTTTTGGTTTGCACTCTATGGCTGCTCGCACAATAGCGCGCAGTTTATCTCCGCCTGGGAGAGAGAGAGAGAGAGAGAGAGAGAGAGAGAGAGAGAGAGAGAGAGAGAGAGAGAGAGAGACAGAGAGAGAAGAGCGAAAAAAAGCCGTAGCTCGAAGGGTCGTTATGTCATAAAACGCGGTAATAAGCGCAGTAGCCTAGCACAATTTATACCGGCGGCGGTGTGGTGCGGTAACAGTTTCTCGTAATTGGACTGATAGAGTCGCCTAACACGGAGCGAGCCGCGTATATACGTCGCGCTGACAGAGAAAACTGGTCGACTTGCAGTTTCCCATATTAGGACAAAAATGTAGCTGCAAGTGGAGAGAGAACTGCATGGCCTAGAGAGCAAAAGAGAGAGAGAGAGAGAGAGAGAGAGAGTAGCGAAAAAAATAAAAAAGGAAGGCGGCTTTATGCAATCGACTGGCCGTTTAAGCGTAATGCTGCACGCCTATAATGATTCGCCGGCCGCCGTCGTTGCTGTTACTGTCTCGCTAGACGGCCCACTTTAGCCACAGCGAATAAGAGACTTACACTTGCGAAACAGCAGAGACAGCGAGGAAAAATCGATGGCAGGTGGGCACGTCCCAGATCGAGATTCGCCGAGTGCGCTCCGCGCGAGCGCGGGAGAAAGTCGCGCGGCCGCGCGAGAGAACACACTCGCGCTCGAATTAGAAATCAATCCCGGCGTCGCGCGGTACGTTGCGCGCGCGGCGAAACTGTTGGACGGACGAACACACGCGTAATAATTCTGCATATACTTTCACGCGCGCGCGCGAGACTTGCTTCCTTCCCGCCCCGTGTTTTTCCTTTTTGCACGTATCCGTGCACCGGATACCGGAATGAAATTTTCGCGGCGAACGTGCTTACATTGCGTTAGGTAACTTTGCGAGTTAGGGTATGCATAAGCGCGTTCACGATCGAAAGTTAATTTTTCTTTTCCTTTTTTTTTTCTTTTTCAGAGGAAACAATTTATCCCGCTTCACTCTACGATATTTTACGTTTCTAATTTGCCGCCGTTGGCTGTTGAATAGTTTCATAAATTTTCAGATGCGTTTGCGAATTCGAAAATCTTTTGCGCAGCTTTCGAATACATAATTCATCAGAAAAATTACTTGTTAAAACGAAGGTAAGGTTTTTTTTTTGCAAAAATGAAATCACGTGAGGCTAATTTAACAATAAACGATAGCATTCCAACAAGAAAACCATTCGCCTGCGAAAAATATTTTGAAGTGGAATTAAAAGATAAATTTGAAAATTTAATCGACTTTTAATTTATATTAACATTGAAAAAAAATGTGAATTTGCATTCAAACGATGAATTATTTGAAAGTTTACTTCTAGCTTCGGTGCGATTTGAATTTCATAGCTTAAAATAATTTCCTACGTAATGTGTACAAAACCTGTTAGTAACGGTCTGGCCATGAGAGAAATTAGCATAAAATAATCGACGTAAAATATTAGAACTAATAATAAGTAACGTTAGCCACGCGGGCGAGAGTACGAAATTTGCAATTTGAAAGCTGGTTCGGGTGAGAGAGAAAGTCAAAGCTCTGAGATAAAAATTTGTTGAAAAAAGTCCCTCAGCCGATATGTGTAATGATTATTGCAGCAGCTCTCGTACAACAGACGATAGGTCTCGTGATAGAAGATGCGCGCACGTGAATGACAAGCGAGAATAAGCAAAGCAAATGATAAGAAAAAGAGCGCGGCACTGATCGTACAACGAGAGAAAGAGAGAGAGAGTGAGAGAGAGAGAAAATAAGGCTCGAGAGCTTGCGGCGAGCTTCGTCGCTGCTTCGGTCAAATGGTTTCTCTTTTTTTTCTTTTTCTACGCGCACTGCGAGATCCGAAAGAACTACAGGCGTATACTCACGAAGGCCTTCATGTTTGGTTTTTGTGTGTGGTGGGCTGGTAGTCCGGTGAATGACTGACTTGGGCCGGGCTGGGTCGGCCTTATATACGCCTAACTCGCGGGGCTCCACAATCACCATCCTTTCGAAAGCAAGCGGCCCCCCTTTCGACCCCCCTTAGGCGGCCGCGCCGCTTACAACCGAGAGATCACGCGAAAAGCCGTATAATCCTTGGCCAAAGAGATAACCACAAGCCCACCCCTTCTCCGACTCGCGCTCGGTCTGCTGCCGGTGTTGCCGCGTTTTTTCCCTTCTTTTCTTCATCGCGCCGCGTCGTCGTCGTCGCCGGCGTTCACCCCGCCAAAGCTTGCGCCTCGCGCTGCTGCCAATCTCGCACGGCTGAGGCACGTAACCTGCGAGCAGGGCTGATGCAAAAGTTTCGGACTCTTGCGAGAATCGCGGTGGCGCTTCCGTCATTTTCACGCGTGGACACTGTCAGTGCGGTCGCCTACAAAAGTGTCTCGCTTCGCTCATTAGTGTTCCTTTCGTTTTCCGCTCGACGAGAATTTGTAGATAGTTCTCTACAGCGCAACTCTTGCTTGATTCGCCTTGCGAGTTCTACGCCGGACAAGTGATGCGGATTCTTCAAGAACATTGAGATTTTCGGCACGTACGAGCGAGGCTAATAAGAGCGCATATCGTAACGATTTTCTTTTGTCTTCTAATTTCACGCCATGAAAATTTTAATCTCCGTAGGTGTTAAGATCTTACAAAACAGTAACATAAGTGCAGCTTACAATTATAGCCTTTCGATGATTTTCTTGCGCAACTCGTAGAAGCCGTTTTCCGCAGCGGCGGAGCAAGGGAAAAACTGTTTTTCTTCTTTTCAAAGACACGAGCTGTATCTTAAGCGGCGACGATTGTCTTGCGCTTGTGAAACGAGCCGAAAATTTACTCGTTCAAGAATGACGCCGATTTGCGCACCCATTTCGAAGACTGCGTAAAGTTTTACGAGGATGAACGTAAAAATATCTACCGCGTTGTATGAAATTTATTAATGCACATGCTCTGGCCGCTGTAATCTGTCCATTTATACATTGTTTTGTTTGCCTATGATGTAAATAAAGTGTCTCTGAGAAGCGACGTTGCATGTTGATAAAAATCGATCGATCAACGAGACAAAGCGAATACTACTCGGACGAATCACAGGATTTCGTTAAGGTGAAAAATGGGGAAAGAGGAGAAAAGTTATTTGAAGATAGTGAAAAGTGATTCGAGTGAGTTCAGCAGTGGCTTAACACGAGTAGGCGACAAAATTTACTTTAAATTTGCCGTCGGTCCGAGATGCAAGAAGGATTGTAAACTCATTATTCAGGATTATGCTAAGTGTTAAACTTCATAGCTTTTGTCTAAGCGGCAGAACCTTATCTGCCCGGTCTTATTGTTTGATCTCTCTTTGTAAGTATACAACGTGAGAAAGATAGACGATGCGATCGTTTTTCTCATTTTCAAAGAACGTAAAAAAATCGATACTACGTCTTTTCATAAGCATACTTGTTATTATTAATATCACGTTGGGATTTTTTCATTCGGTCGTTCGATTGGACGAATCTCGAGTAATGCTATAGCACGGCTCGTGCGATATTCTCCGTCGCTACATTGTTATTGTTTGATGGATTGTGACAAGAGGCCGAGCATTCCCATAGCAGCAGAATTTCAAGCACGAAAATGAAAGTTAGTTGCATGATGCCAGTTATGCACGAGAAAGATTATGAGGGTAATTATCCGTAGACAGGTGGATTATGACGAATAATTTGTCAATAGCAGAGGGTAAAAAAAACATTTCAACGAGAACTAAATAGAATTCCGTAGTCGAGGAATTTCAATGAAAAACAATAGTCGTGAAACGGCAGAAAAGCCTAGCAGTGGTATGGATTGGCAATCTGCGTTCGCAATTCGTCGGGCCATTATTCTCGATTTTCATTCAAACGCTCAGTGCGCGATCATCATTTTCGGGCAAATCTCGCGCTCATAAAAGCAGCCGCTGCGAGCTACTACGACTGGCAATGTTGGATAACGCCAAAGTATACGTACGGCGCGATCCATGTTTGGCGTCGACAGTAGTAGAGCGGATAAAAACGCGTCGGGTCGCCGAATGGCCTTAAGAGACCTAAATTCTTTTCTAAATAGATAGCCTGTCGCTTTACGCCTATTACCTCAACCCACTAATTCGCCTGAGCGAGAGCGAGAGAGAATACGCCCGGAGGGGTAGATTTCCCAGTAAGAGTTACATCCCCGCTAGAAGGCCAATTTGCATACTTTTCTTTGCGCGCTTTTTTTTCACTCGCTATCTCTCCCGATTCAATTAGCTTCTATCACGTCGTTATCGCTTTCAAAGCCTCGTCGTCGATGGCCACGAATGACTACTCAACCTACTATCTTGGAGAACTATTATTGTCTATATCATTGTCTATATCTGCAACGATTCTTCCTTTCTCTTTTTATCGCAGCGACGTTTTATACAAATGCAACGCGATTCCAAGATCATCCATCGTTCCATCTTCTTTCGAAAGTATTTAATATAAAATAGATTATGCCAAGGACTAAAAATCTCAATTTATATAGTTATACGTCAATCAAAGAGTTGAGATTGAAGATGAATACTAAACTGGACGAAATAATATGTTGTAAGAGATAGTGTACAAAGTTTCTTTATCTCTTTCCATATGAACACAATAAACACAATACTATCACTGAACCATAGTTTGTAAGTTACGATTCGTTACAATAATTTCAATCGCAAGGGGTTTTACTTATACATACTTGCGCATTATCAATTCTTTTGATGATATATTAAAAGAGAATTTAATATTGTGGCGATATCAGTTATTCAGAAAAATCGTAAGCTATCGCAAATTTGAAAATTATATTATTTGTAAAATGAATTTCAAAACTTGCATACTTGTGCAAACGGAAGTTACGATCTTTTGCTGGAACTTTGATTTGAGAAAATTCTCCTGGATACGAAAACTCGATGATGCTCTTAAGCGCACCATCAGCGTCAATTAAGATTATCAACAGATAAAAGCTCTAAGCTCCTACTAAGAACGTTCGTTAACGAGATGAAAAATCAGCCTAACAAAAAAGGAGGAAAAAATGGGGTCGAGGATTGGGACTTCCGTTTTATCAGCGTCTGACCGGTCTCTAGCTGCGGTCTCGGGTGAGAGCTCCTTATCTATCTGGTGATTTTTCCCTCTCGAAAATAAAAAAAAGAGGAAGAGAGACAACGAGAGAGACAGAGAGATTACAAACTCGGGCTCCGCCGCCGCCACGACACGGAAAGTGAAAGCTCCCATTATGCTATTTCGGAAGTGACAAAAATCGCGCGAAAGCCGGCATCTCTATCTCCTCTTTTTTGTCGCTGGTCGGCGACCGGTTACCAGCACGCGACGTCTATAATCGCATGCGCGTATATCGATGGTTCTCCTCTTTTTTTCTTTCCTCTCTGATTTTCTTTCTTTCATTCGTTCTCTTTTCCCGCAAACGCCTCGTCGCTCTCGTAATCCCTCTCGTCGATTTTCCTGCTGCCGACGCAACTTTTTCGACGACTCGCCAATTTGTCAATCGAAAGACAAAGATACCGTGTGCCGAAGCTACGCAGCCGACTGCGTAACCCGAAAGTGACGTGCTTTTTGAAATGATAGCGCTTTATCACGTCGAATTTCGGCTCATAAATATCAAATGTGAATGGCGGCTGCGCTCTCCAACGATTGTAAAGCGCCCGCGTGGAAACTTTCGCACGCGCGCGGGGAGTAATTAGGCGCAGCGAGCGCGATGAAGTTCGTAAAATCGGCGAACAACGAGACGTAACCTCGGTTGCGGCGCGAGCATTCCTCGCCACGCTTCACGGCTCCGTCGTTATGAAAAAAAAAAAAAAAAAAAAAGAAAAAGAAGAAGAAAAAAAAAAAAAAAGAAATACCAATTTACCGCGAACATTTCGTCCGCGCGAGCATTGTTGTGCGTTTCTCCTTGCGCAATGCGCGCGCGCATTCGCCGCTGATTTTAATTAATCGCATTCACTTATGAGCGCTTGTATTTTTCTTCCACGCGCGATATACCGCAACGGCGCGCGCGCCGCGACGCAAGTTTCGTTAGCTGCATTTCCCGGATGAGTCGAGCTTTTACAATGCTTCGAAACAGCCTCGCCAACGATTCTGGAATTGCAGAGTCAAGTTGGAGCCGATGAGCATCGCTTTTACAAGCGTATAAGCGCGCAGCAAGTGAATATTGTTCGATTTTTATTTCATTTTTTTTTGATCGCCTGAAAATATTGATGGGTAACGTGGGTTACCAACGTGGGTCCTCACGATTGTGGCACTAATTAGAGTGCACGTACGAATTAAGCAGAAACGTCGTCGGCCACAGTAGCAACATAGTGGAGCATCGCAGCGGCATTCAACCAACAAACACCATCTTCACTGTTTGTAGTAACATACCGAAGTGCTGCCCTTTTTTCCAGCAGAATATGTCATTTCCGTCACCGTAAGTCAACGGCGTTCGTTTTCTTCAACAGGATGCCCTCGACTTTTACTTGGCGAATTCGCGGAGCTCTGTTCGCTTACAAAGTAAATTAATTTAAAGTCGAGGTGGACTTTCTAATTCGAATTCGCTAATGTAGTATATTAAAACTCTGTAGCATTAGTAAATGTCAAGCAGAAAAAAAGACTGCATTAAAGTTTCCCACAAACCACTTGAACATTTGAAAGTGTCAAGCAACTGGACCGATCACGCGTTATTAGTACGCCTTGTCGGTCTGGATATTTTGCTGATTTGAAAAAAAAATATTTGCCGGCAGCGAGAATTACATTCTAAATGCAGTCGCTGTCAAGTTTAAAGCTCCGGCGACCGCCCACCTGAACCTTCGCAATGGGCTACACGTCTCATTAACATTTCATGCCGTGGCAGTGCGCGTGTAAGTATCGATCGCCTTTAATCACGCCAACAATTCGACGTGGATGAAATGTTGCATCATAACGCGATCGAACGACCGAAACGGGCGCGAAACGCTGATTAGATTAGAAAAGATGTGGCAGGAAAAGAGAGACGCGGAGCGAAGCTCCGACGCGTTTGGA